TCACATAAAAGTGAGGGAAGTGGTTAAGACTCTAATTGGGATGCCCGCATCTCCTATTGGAGTGCCTGGGTTTGAGTCTGACCCCACTTTTTGCTTCTGCTTCCTGCTGAAGCACACCCTGGAGGCAGCAGATGGTGGCTCAGAGTTGGGTCCCTGCCATCTACATGGAAAACCAGATTGGATCTTTGAGCTGATCCAACCCTGGCTGTTGCTGGCTTTGGGGGAGTAAAGCATCAGATGGTAGACCTGTCTGTCTCTGGCTCTCCTCTTTTCAAATTCATTAATATTTTTTTAAATGAGGCATTGTTACATCGATGTTTGGATAAATGTTAAAATGAGGCATTCTAAAGAAGTTAATAAAACACCACCATTCACAAAATATCAAGAATAGTAGCTGAATTATAGCATTTTAATGTGCTCAATTAGAATTGAAATGTAAAAGTTCTGCAGAGAAGGTTGTCAATTCATTTTGTTGTAAATGAGAAACAAGCAAACTAATCTTAGAAATGAAGCAAAAGTCTATTTGCATATCTTTTTAATTGCAAAAGGAGTGTAGTCTAGAGGATTCCCACTCTAAGGGGCAGTGGGCCATCCAGAGCTTCTCTCCAGTTTTTCCCAAGTATTTACCCACCAACACATGCAGTCAGAAAAGATGAATGTGGCCCAGACTCTGGAAGATTTAAAACAATAATTGTCATCGATTTTTTTCTGAGGCAATAAGCATTAGACTGCCAAAAAGAGGAGTTAAGGACATCATTAAGCAATAATACATAATCAAACAGTGAAACTTTGTGAGCTCTGTGAAAGTGTGCCCTTCTGGTTACTAAGACTGCACATTACTCAAACGTTTCAACAGAAAAGTGCGTTTGTTTTGTTTTTGGTGTGATAGTACACATTTTATTTGGGTGTCAGCTCACATTTGTTATAAGCAAGTTCATAGATGATGCACATTTCATAGATCTGACATGAAATATTTTAATCATTAAGTTTATCCATTGTATATCAATGTTTCATGCTAGCATTTCAGATAATATGATAATGATACAATAAGCAACCATTTACATGGCCACATATATCAGACAGTGTTTTAACAATTTACATTTATAAACACATTTGATATTACTTACAGAAATTGTTTTCTGCCAGTAAATACTTTATGAAAAAAGTGTCTTTTCTGGAAAGCTCCCACAACAGCTCGTTGTGACTCAAAATTCAGCCATCAAGGAAGTCTTTCAAAGGGCTTAAACTGAACTTAAACACAGTCTAAGTTGCAGCGTCTATGATTTATGCTATTTCCTCTTAGTTGCAAATCCATCCATCTATACTGTGTAATGGGATTGCTAATCTGTGCAGTTTTCATTCCTCTGTTTTAAGATACTTGCTCTCAGCTCTGAGAATAGGAGGCATAAGGGGAAAAAAAAGAGCAGGAAGACAGAAGGGACTTCTTCGTTCCATCCTCACACTCTAGGTGAGGATGGTCCTGGGCAGGTCCTCCATCCTGTCAGCTGCAGGCAGTTCAGTCTCTGGGTTCTTAGTGCAATCTGAGGACCAGCCTCTTCATGCCCCAAGTAGTGGCTTCTTACAAAAGTCTGGGTGTCAGCTCCTCGCCAGTGTTCTCTCAAGAATATTATCCCAGCTCTTTATCTTTGTTCATGTAGCCTACACTGTACTTGATATTGGGAGACTCTGGGATATGTTTGATCATGTCCATGACATTTAATGAAACACTGATCTCATTGCTAATGGGAAATGAGATACTAGCGATTCATGACATGAAGTCAGATCAGTTAATTAAATTTATCACTTCTAGTTGATTGAAATGTAGTACCCTGAGAACCAAGTGTCCTCTATGTGTAATTGCTAGAGTAGTAATGATGACTACAAGAACTGTGGGTAGGGTGGTCTCTTTTGACTAGACAATCTGCGGACAGAAAAGTCTAAATTCAAGGCTTTTCAATGTGAGTTTAAGTAAAAGAGGACAAAGAATTTCTGTGTCGGTCTTAAAAAGTCTGTTATTTTGTTGCTGCAGGATCCTCTTCTCTGAAAATTCAGATGCCTGTTTTATTTGTGCTGGTTATAGCATTACAATATAAACTGAAATCTTATGCTTGTTATGCCACTTTGGACGAAGTCAGGACAATAATTGGGGAGAAAAATAAGACTCAAACTTTTATGAGGGGACTTAAAAACATTTTTGGAAAATGGAATTAAAAATAAGTTTAGAGAACTGGCATTTAGCCTAGCAGTTAAGAAAGATAACAAGTGACAATGCTCACAACCCACATTTGAGCACCTGAACTCAATACCTTGCCATGTCTCCTACCTCCTGCTTCCTGCTAATGCAGACCCTGGGAAGCAGTGGTGATGACAAAAGTAATGGCTTTTCTGCTACCTACATTGGAGACTTAGATTGATCTCCTGACTCCCAACTTGGTCCCTGTTGGTGACTATTGTGGGCAGATGGGGGAGTGTGCTCTCTCTCTCGTGCTCTCTCTCTCTCTGTGAGTTTGTGTGTATATGTGTGTGGTTGTGCTCATGAGCCTGTCAAATAAATAAAATTTACAAACAAAAATGGAATATGTTTATTTTGATGCAAAAATTTTGAAAGTCCTGCATACACAGGGTCTTCAAAAAAGGTCGTAGTTGAAATCATAGTGGCGCAGGGGGTTAAGTTGCTGCTTGCGACACCAGCATCCCAGCTTGCAACACCAGTGCAATTTGTTGCTTGCTGCTTCTCATATAAACATAGCTATACATAAGCAGAAAGACCACATATATATTTATATGTATGTTGATATTTATATATAGTTAATAGCCTGTTTTTTACTTCTCTTCTCCTGACCTCTTAACTATTTTATGTAAAGGTTTTCGCATTATGGATAACTTTCGAATCAACTCTTCAGAAAACAGAATATTCAGGTGGGACAATGATCATATTACAAGAGTAAATATCATCACTCAGAAATGGCTTCCATAATTACTACTAGAGATGGATATAATAACTGTTAGAATTTTGTGTTTTTTCTTTTAGGACAGATGATGAGAGCATTTTTGTTTGTAAGAAGGATAGTCACATGTTACCATTGTGAAACAGTGTAAATATCTACAGAAGTGTTTATATGATACTGAATATCCAAAGGGGTAAATAATACCAGTTGGTAAGCAATTATCTGTCAGTTTCATATCCAACTTTCTATTCTTAATTCTTATTAGCATCCTATGGCGTATGTTGAAAAACAGCATTCTTTAGATGCCTAAGAAATCCAGAAGTTTTATAATGTTATGAAGTTGTGTTCCAAGATTTTTTTACTTGGGAAGACTAATACATAAATTATTTTCATTGGTTTTAGTTACATGTTTCATCTCTGAGAATGAATACTGACTGAGAGCAATGTCCTTTGCAGTGAAATGTGGTGTGAATGCTGAGGAGAGTATGGAGGATGTGAGAACTCCAGGAAAGTTACTACAGGAAATGAAATATAGGCCTATTAGTCTGTTCTTCAATGCTGTAACAAAATACCTGAGACCAGTAACCTTATAAAGAAAAGGTTTCTTGGCTTGTAGTTCAGGAGATTTAAGGTGAAGGAACTAGCATTGTCTCAGCTCTGGTGACTACCGCATGGATTGTGATGGCAATGGCAGGAGTTAATGCAGGAGGAAGAGATCATATCTTGAAACCAGAATCCAGGGAACAGCTCCTGGATTGGGCTTGCTCTTATAAATTTTCACTCTGAAGAAATGCCTTAGTCACTACTGAGGGTTGCCATCTCAATGCTGTCTACTGGCCTCTTGCAAAACCCAACTGTTAAAGGTCCCACTACCACATTGAGAACCAAGCCTCCCACACATAAAAACCCTTGAAGACCAACTCATCCTACTTCTCCACCATAGCAACAGGGTCAGAGAATATTGGAGGGAATGAAATAATAGAGACATAATATTCCAGATGAGGGCAAGTATAGTTGTGGTTAAGTGGATGTGTGATTCTCAGCACTAGCACCTGAGTGCTGCTTGATTTGGGCAAACTTCTCTATGCTTGATTTCCTTATCTTTTTTTAAGTTGCCATTTCTTTAAGATCTATTTATTTATTTATTTGAAAGTCAGAGTTACACAGAGAGAGAAGTAGAGGCAGAGAGAGAGAGAGAGGTCTTCCATCTGCTGGTTCACTCCTCAAATAGCTGCAACCGTTGGAGTGGGGCCAATCTGAAGCCAGGAGCCAAGAGCTTCTTCGAGGTCTCCCATTTGGGTGCAGGGGCCCAAATGGCCTGCTTTCCCAGGCCATAGCAGAGAGCTGGATCAGCAGTGGAGTAGCCGGGACTCAAACCAGCGCCTATATGGGATGCTAGCACTGCAGGCGGCAGCTTTACCAGCTAGGCCAGTGTCGGCAATTTCCTTATCTTTATCATTATTTTTTGGATGGACTGGCTCTTTATTTCAAAAAAACACTTACTGTCAATATTCAGTAACAAAACAGTTATGCTATTGCTTTCTCTTGAGAATTGCCCCCAGAATTGCCCCCAAAGAGACCACACCAAAGGAAAGTACATTCCAAGCCAGTAAGCTACAGGTTGTACACCTAATAGGCCTTGCTGAAACCTCACCTAATTTCCTAATCTTTAAACGAAGAGAAGTATGTATAGATTTGTTAGGAAGATTAAATGTGATATAGCACAAAAGATAATTGACACCTACCTGACATTTGATTATTTAAAATGCTCCATAAAACAGAAGCAGGCCCTCTATAATTGAATCAACTTCATTTAGAATGAAGAATAGAAGTGATTAAACAAACATAAGTTGTTTGAAATTGAAGGGCCTTAGAGAAGTCTAGTGTAGCTCCCTCATTTGTTAAATGATAATAGAACCAAGTGACAAAGAGAATTAAATGTTTGATTAAGGAGCTAAATAACAGGGAAGTTGGGTGGAGACCTCAGTCCCTCCCCTTTGCTTAGCAGAGGGCTATTTCAAATACACTCAAAGTTATTTAGCTGTAGCATTTTTTAAATCCTCCCAAATTAAGGCAACAGTAGTAATACCAAGATAATTTTTCAGGATTCAGAACTCAAACTGATCTTCATGATGTGTAAGATCCAGAGATATTTAATGAAGAGTTTGTATATTTGACAACCCACACTGCATGCTTTGTCCTGTTCCTAGTGCCTATTTCCTTCAACAAGTCCATGTGGGAGAAACACAGGGTAGGCATCAAGGCGAACTGGAGTAGTAAAAAGGGTGAATGGCATTCTCGTTCCTTTTCCATTGTTGATTGAATCAGAGGGAGATGAAAGGTTGACTGTGTGAGTACAAACTTAAGCCTTTGTCTGAAGCTAGGTGGTTGAGCGTTGTTGTCTTATACCTCTGCCTCTCACAATCTCCAAGGGCACTCACATTGGGAGTGAGTAAACCAGTTTATGTCTCCATACCTGAGGAAACTCTCTAGCTTTATGAAACAGATCCAAGGAAATATATTTATTCATTTTTTATTGAGAGTTATAGTTAGGTGAAAATATGAGAGATAATTGCAGTCACAATATCCATAGTTTTCTCATAATCATTGATTAAATTGTTGTAAGCTTATCATTTTAAAAGGAGAGCTTAATGGGATAAAGCAACATTGTATTGCTGTTCAACTGAAGCTATGTATATATGCATACATCATTTATGATCTCTGTATAATTTATGTGTAGACAAACACCACACTTTATTGAGGTAAAAGAGCACAGCGAGGTTAAAACAAATGCCTAGGTTCAATATCGGCTTTACAGAGCCACTGAAAGCTATTTTACTAGCATAAAGGCCTCCAACATGCTGATATTAACTTACTGATAAATATTTAGAATGTATTTATATTTTGCTCTCTTGAAAGCTAAGCCAAAACAAACATAATTTAAGGCAATCTTTGGAAGTGTCAACATTTCCTGTTTTATCTGCCTTGTGTTAAATGTTTTTCATAGTGACAATTAAAAATATTTAACAATGAAGAACAAAGGTTAACAAATTTATCATGAATCTATCTTACTCCTTTTATAAATATTTTATCTAATGCACAGAATAGTCATATTTTTCAATAACCTTCAACTTTTAGTTTTGAGGGATGGCATTATTGTTTTTAAGTCCCTACATGCTCACTCAAAGCTATGTGTTGCAGATTTTCAGTTTTCATTTCATGTTCTGCAAAGCGTCTATACATATCGATGTTATTTTCTTAAAAATACAGAAATGAGAATTTATAGAATACAAGTTGTCCTGGTTACGAGCTATTCAACACTGTTACTAACTTCCATCGTGTCCTTGGAAAGATAAACTACCCAGTATACAAGGTTGAATCCTGCAAATGCAACTGGGAAGAGAATTCGAGAATACTGGTCTATTTTACTGGTGCCTCCAAAGGTTGGTGAGAGCGGTGGAGGTGTAACAGGTGTTGATGGTAAGATGGGCGTTCTTGCGAGGACTTTGCTGGGTTCAGCAGATGGAACGATTGGCAAGGTCAGAGAGGTGATTCTTTTCTTCAGGTGGTACTTGGAATCAGAATGCTATGGAAAAAATAAATAAATGTTGAGTCTAAGACAAAAGAATAGATATGACTTATTAGTCATTCATTATTTCACCATTGAGAAATATTTATCAACCATTTTTCTATGTAAGGAAAAACATCAACACATTCTTAGTACAATTTGATGGTGCATTTTTCCAAGAAAGGATTAATACACATAAAAATACTTTTATTCCATACAACAATCTAAAACTCTATATATCAGCCACTGGTGTTGTGTTCTCTGTTCCAGAATCTATGTTGATCACTGTCCCATTAGAAAATGAGATAGGTTGCAGTGACATATCCACCTCCTGGTTATGCATAAGCCTGTAGGGCAACGGGTGTGGGAGGTGTTGTGTGTTATATGGGGGAGGGATTCTAAAATGAAATTAGTTAATATGAAAAAAATCACAGTTCAGTTCATTGATATCATTCTTCTAGACACATTCCCAGCCTATATTCTCATCTTCACACACTTATGCGTTTACCCAACTGAGATTGAAAAGGAGCTAATTTATGTCAAAAGAACCTAGAGAGGAATGATTGCTCACACCTTAAATGTAATTGCCTCTTAGCCCAGAAGTTATTATATTGGGAGATTTCTACTTTTCATGAAGAACTACTGGTCTCCTTCTACTTTAAGTCACCAAAAATAATTTATTTACTAAGCTAAATGTTATATGTTGTATGTTCTTATCCATTATTAGACTTTTTTTTCTACTGAAATCATATGACAATTACCTTTTTTCAGCTTGAAAGAGATATTTAACACTTTAATCCATAAGTGAAAACAAGAGTTCAAATAGGGGAAACGCCTTGCTAATTACTTGTTAACAAACAAAATTTATTAATAAATTATTATTTATTTCTCTGTTTTTACTTACTGGAGAGGCATAAGGGATGGAGGGAGAGAAGAAAGAGAGAGAGAAACTTCATCACTCTCTAAATGCCCACAATGACTAGGGATGGGTTGGGCCTAAGTCAAGAGCCAGAACTCAATCTAGGTCTCCCATGTAGGTGGCAGCCTAAGTACTTCATCATCACTGCTCCCTCCCTGAGTCTGCATTAGTGGAAACTAGAATTGGGAGGTAAGCCAGCACCCCAAATGACAATCAGGCTTCCCAACCAACATCTGAACCAATAGGCAATTGCTGGCTCTTAATTTCAATATTTTTTTTTTAATCCCAACATTTTCGGATTTTTACTCTAAAGCGTTTTGCCTAGTTAAGAGACCAAATGTGTATGAGTTGCATCCCTTTCATGCTGTTGGGCTTTATGGAGCCTTCCTCTGATTCTTATCTTTTCTTGTCTCCATCCTCTAACAACCATGCTCCTTGTGGCTAGGTTGTAATTCCTGAGTCTCTGCCTTCAAACACTTGCTGTAGATTACCTCTGATCTTGTAAAACGGCCTTGTTTTCTCCCTGGCAGCAAAATCACCACTTTGCTGCCTGGCAGGGAGTGTTAGTCACATGGGCAGACTCCCGTGACTTTAGCCAGAAACCCTGCGGCAACAGCATAAGACAGCTGCCTCCCCTGTGCTGGGTGAGCCACAGGACCAAAATGACCTGCCGATGTGGTGACATTTGGACCATAGGAACAGCAATCCCAAGAAGCCCTTTTTTCTATAAACCCTTCTTGAATTTTGCTATTTGAATTTCCATGGAAATTACTGAATGTCTAAATAATAATAGTCACCATAGAGTTCAAGCCCAGAATATTTTTAGGGACCGTCGGAAAATCTCCCTGTTCAGCAAAAGCAATGTTAAATCTGTGTAGTCCAGCTTGATTTGCTGTAAACACAGTGTATTTCAAGTAAGAAGTGTCTTTCTGATCTATCCGTCCCATACTATGGAAGCATTCTGGACAAAGTTAAATAAATCATAGGTCTTGGGGGGTAGAAGAGAGTTTAAAATAGTAGAAGGCCTTTTCTTTTGATTTTGTAAATCAGTGACATGTTCCATTAAAAATATGTGACAGCTGAGTACTGCATTGCCCAGGGTCACCAGACTATATGTGGTTAGGACCAGAGCAATGGAATTTTGGTCTTACATGCAAACTGCCTGTCTTAGAGAATAATGATTGTGTCATCTTCAAGTGTTTTATTCAGGTTACTCAGACTCTAATCTGAGTTTTTATCTAGTAAACATCTTATTAAAATATTCTGTATCTCAGGGAGAAAAATGTGTCACTGTGTCATTACTCTAAAAGATCCAGACTCCTCCCACATAAATAGAACACGAAAATATTTTCTTCCACTAACATTTCTAAGTATCATGATAGAGGGTGAGCTTTCAGAGTAAGTTTTCTTTTTTGTATTTTAATAACAGGCATTGCCTGTCTAAAACCTGTGTTTCTTTCTATTGTAGGTAGAAGGAAAGCAGACATGCCTAGTTCATTATAATAAAAAGTGGCTCTAAGCATAATGAGTTTTTAAAATGCCAGGTATTGCTTTTTCTCCACTTCTTAAGTGATGTAGGAAGAATGTTGTTTGTGAATCTCCTGGCATTGTCACAAGAGACATACTGAGGATTGCCAGGGTCAGGAGGTACCACTGAGAATCAAACACTGTATAGGAATTAAGTAAAATAACATTAGCCTGCTCCAAAAAGCCAATTACCATAGGATTCCTCTTTTCCTCGTTTGTTAACGGAAGCATCCTCTTGTGAAGGTTGCCTAACAGTTGAGAAAGCAGGGGAGTAAGAAATCCCTAGCTCACAAATCTACTATGCATTTGCAGTTTGACTAAGACATATCATACATGTCAGAGATTGTTTTTTTCTAAGCTTCAAGTTCTTATTTTTAAACCTCCTTCTCTCCTGAGCTTCTTTCTGTTTTTCTAAGAATTTGAGAAACTCATACATACATATGCAAGTATATATACATATATATATACACAACTATTTGTTTTTTATTTAGGTGCAAAAAATTTTTAAATTCCAATCATATGAGAAGCATTCAAAATATGTACGGAAAGTGCATATTATAAAAATAGGCATGATTTCAAATTTTTGCATCAAAATAAATGTATTTTAATTTCACTTTCTGTGAACTATATGAAGCACCACACATATTTGCCTAGCAAATCTTAGCTATAGCTAATTTTTAATTATTTGTAACATGTATTGTTTCTTCTACCACTTAACTACCTTTGCTTTATTTCCTCTTTGCCTGGAATAACACCCATCTACCACTCCATTTTTAGTTTACCTTTATATTTTTGATACCAAATTCATATATCACCTATCACTGTTTATACAGCTTTTTATATACTTTTTGGCTTTCTTAGACGTTACAATTCTTGTAGCTGTTGTCACATTCTTCTTGTAAATATGATTATTTCTGTTGTAGCTCATCTCCTTTCTTAGAATGAAGTCTTAATGAGAGAGGGCACTTTATTCCCTGCACAGTGCTCCATAGTGCCTCAGCAGTGCACAGAACATGGTGTATGCTTGTTGAATACGTAGTAAATCAATAAGTAAATGGATACCTAAGCATTTTCTAAGGTTTGTAGGGTGAGGCAAAGATAAGTGAATAAAACACTGTATAATTGTCTTACATGATGTTTTAATACATTGCTTTTTATGACACTATATTGTAATTAACAATTCTAAATACTTCTGTTGACAAGCACTACAAGGCAAATTTCATACATAATCTCATTGCTTAAAATAATCTGTAACGTCATATTACATAATTTAAAGGTAAACAAATGGAGGCTGATGTTGTAAGCATATTGGGTTGAGTCCCTACCTGTGACACTGGCATCACATATGGGCGCCCATTTGTGTCCCGGCTTCTCCACTTCTGATCCAGCTTCATGCTGAAGTGCCTGGGAAAGCAGTCAAAACACAGCCCAAGTATTTGGGCCCCTGCTACCCATATGGGAGATCCAGATGGAGTTCCAGGCTCCTAGCTTCAGCTGAGTCCAGCTCTGGCTATTGCGGCCATTTGCAGAGTAGAAAGATCTCACTCTTTCTCTCCCTCTCACTCTCACAAGTTTGCCTTTCAAAAAAGCAAATCTTTATTTTTTAAGATTTATTTTATTTATTTGAAAGAATTATAGAGAGAAGGAGAGAGAGAGAGAAAGAAAAGGAGAGAGAGAAAGAGTCTTCCATTCACTGGTTCACTCCTCAAATGGCCACAACATCCAGAGCTGAGCCAACGCGAAGCCAGGAGCCAGGAGTTTCTTCTGGGTCTCCCATGCAAGTGCAGAGGCCCAAGGACTTTAGCAATCCTGCACTGCTTTCCCATGCACATTAACAGAGAGCTGGATCAGAAGTGTAGCAGCTGGGATTCAAACTGGCTCCCATATGGGATGCCAGTGCTACAGGCCAGGGCTTTAACACATTGCACCACAACGCCGCCCCCCCCCCCCTTTTTTTTCCTTACAAAAAAAAGGAAAACAAATGGCAGTTCACATTGGTAGTAAGTTGCAAGACCTGGGTAATTCCTATCAGATGCCACAGATCACACTCTGAACAATTAAGCCATTCTTCTCATCAGCTTTAAGGCTTGGGGCATGCTTTCTCAGCCTCAGAACTAATGACATTTTCGGGTGGATGAATCTTGGTTGTATAGGACAGTACTGTTCATCATGGGCTGCCAGACAGTAGCCCTGGCCTCTGCTTGCAAGATACCAGCAGCACCCCAATCACTGGTTGTAACAAGCAAAAACAACTCCAAACATTGCCAAACGTCCTCTAGGGTAGAAACAGATGCACCTCGGAATCACTGGTATAAATTTACAATTGTTCCACTGCCTAGCAATGATCAGGGATGGGGATATTTTAGTAGGCGATATGCTAAAGGAAATGCATGAGTCCTGGCCTGGCTACTCCACACCCTGGATCATCAGCTGCTCAATAATTGGGAATTGGCAGCATAATGAGACTGGACGCCAATTTAGAAGAAACACATTGAATTTCTGAAATGAAAAGAAAGCCAATTTTACAAACCGTTCAAGCTACAGGTTTGCATTAGACCCCGCCTGCTCTATT